AATACTTTGCACAAGAGTGGCCAGAGCTTCCTCAGATCAAGCACTGCCTGATGTCTCGGAAGCACCCTCCTTCTAGTTCACTCCAGAACTTTCATAACTTTGCAACTTTCTTCCCACCAGTTTACTTACAATAGCTCTATAGGAAGATTATCTAATGCAGCTTATTTAGTTTTGACCAGAGCATTACAAATATCAGTATCTTGATTTTCTGTAAACTCTAACAAAAAAGGGTTGCTATGGGAGCTAGTGAAATATTTGGTAAAAATACCTGTATATTTTTTTTTTTTACAATTCATTCCTATACTATGTTAATTTTTAATTTCAAACTCTCAAATAAGGTCAATAGGTGTCCTGATATGCATAAAGTTAGATATATCTATAGTGGTTTGCAGGTTCAGAGCCTTAGTCATTAAAACTTTGTACACATTCATCTGGAAAGCCAGGGATCAACTTCTATTTATACTGTGAAGGTTTTGCCAAGGATATCACTTTTCGTTAATCCCAGTTTCCTGGAAAGGTGCTAACACTTTCCCTGCGGGGTGTGGATAGCCTAAATTGTGTAGACAATAATCAGTGGTTGATGGAATACAGGCTTGTGTTTTAAGAAGCTTATTACCACCCATGATCCTCAACCATTCCATGCCCTTGTGCTGCTGGTGAAGGAACTCGAGCACAGGTGCTATAAGGAGAGGCTGAGGGAGCTGGGGTTGTTTAGCCTGGAGAAGAGGCGGCTCAGGGGAGACCCTATCATCCTCTAAAACTCCCTGTAAGGCGGTTGTAGTCAGGTGGGGGTTGGTCTCTTCTCCCAGGCAACCAGCAGTAGGACAAGAGGGCACAGACTCAGTCTCTGCCAGGGGAGGTTTAGGTTGTGTATTAGGAAGAAATTTTTTACAGAGAGAGTAATCAGGCATTGGAATGGGCTGCCAGGGGAGGTGGTGGATTCACCATCCCTGGAGGTTCTCAAGATGAGACAGGGCATGGCACTTAGTCTAGCAATGACAGTAGGGTTGGGCTTGTTGATCTTTGAGGTCTTTTCCAACCCTGTTGATTCTATGATTCTATGACATTTTTGTGGTTGCTGTCTCAGCAATTTAGTTCCATAGTTCTAATGCATTAGTATAGCATGACAATATCTGTACTATAAGTACAGTGTATAAATGCACAATAACCATAAAAATAACTAAAACCTGCATTAAATCATATTATTTTAACTGACAGTTATAGATAATGTACTTCAATCCCTATTGCAATTTGCAATTTTATTTTGGAAAAAGATTTCAGTGCTCTTTAGTTCAAATATTTCCTTCTAGCATGAAGTTGTTGTAAAAAAAGCCTTGAAATGTGTTTAGCCAGCTACAAAAGGGATCTGAAAGATGTTGCCCAAATGGAAAGAGCTGTGCAACAAGGAGTAAGATATCATCTACCCTTCCCAAACTGCATTTCCTAGGACTTTGTTTAAAGTCACACCTAATGTCTGTCATCTGGAGACAGGCTGATAGTACAGTCACACTATAACTTCAAGAACTAAAAAAAGTGGGAAGTCTATTCAAAGAAACACTGGATTCTTTTCCTTTGAATTCTGGTTCATGAACTCTTTGTGAGCTCAAGAGCTCCTTCATAATGTTAACCTTACTCTCTGTATTCTCACAGAAGAAAAGAAAGTTTTGGACAGGTTTTAACTTAAAGTTGTAAGAACTAGCAACTCAAACTTTGATGAAGAAATACGAGTAATTGCATATTTTAATGACAATGATATGATCATAGTTAAAAGCTGAAGTACACCTAGGGAGGTAGAAGCAGCAGTAATGGGAAGAATCATAAGCCAGTTGTGTTAGGTTTCAAGAAGCAAACCAGTTGTTGTGTCAGTCACACACAGTCTGCTGCATTTAAACCAGAGGTCTAGAATTACTTTATAGCCAGGCTGATGAGACAGTAAAAAGGTCACAATTCTGAAATCTTGGCCCGACTTCTAAGGGATCATTTTACCAAATCTCTGCCATGCTCACCTTGCACAGAAAGAATATTTTTCATTGTCATAAAATTGGCATCGATTATCTGATAAGCAAAAGACAGCACGGCAATATTGCCACATTATATTCCCATTGCATCTGTATAACAAGGCAAGATTTATATTTCCATACAATAAAGCTAATTTATATTTCCTTTGACTATTACTCCTAAAACTTCATTCCTTTCTTAGGAAATTCAAAATTATCTTGCTCCATTCTTCTGTGTCCTTATTGTCCCTATATCATGTTGGAATGCACCATCTGTTTCACACAAAACAGAAACACATTTTCAAATCTCTCTGGATTAGTTCTATCTAACTAGTCGCTTTCTTTTTCAATGGTTCAGCTGATAGTTCTTGACCACAGACAGAAGGTCTCTGATATTATCTATATAAGTAACTCACAGTAACCAATACATTCTACAGTTAACTGATGGCAGAGCTGAGTGATCTCTGACTCTTTTCCCCAGCTCTGAGTGTGAACAACTGCAGCTGATTTGGTGGTGTGGAGTAATAGAAGTAAAGGAACTTATCTTTTACATTATTCCAAAGGGCAATGATGATTGATATCAGATCCGGTCAAAAGTTAAGATTTCTCTTCTTCAAGGAACACATTCTGTTTCAAAACAGTTCTTTAAAGAATTTACAAGTTTTACTGGTGGCTGTTAAAACTCCCCACAAATGCATTCTAAACAGTTCTGATTCTCGAAGTGATAAACTCTTGGGCCATGAATGCCTTTTCCCCAACGTACCAGGCTTATCTGTCCCTCCAAGATTCCCAGGATGTCCCAGGGGACAGGCATAAAGATGAGAAGCTTGTATGTTACTAGTAACCTTGTAACTTGGAATCAAACTCCAAATCTCCTCCTGCAGCAGGAGAGAGGCTGCAAATCCTGAGTGCCCCAGATTAAGGTGGCCTTTTTGGGGCTCCTGGACTGCCTGCTGTGTAGCTCAGTTCTCAGTTTGGTGCTAGGTTTTGTTTCTGAAGCCAGAAAACATAGACACTGACACCAACTGAGTCTGGTTCAGTGCTAAATATTTTTGTCATTTGTCATAGCAGCCCAGAGAGCAGAAGCCCTCCCAGTTTCCTTTGCCCCAAGAGCGGGCTAAAGGCTTGGTGAAAGCCTTGTTAATGACTGGAGAACTGCAAGTTAATAACTGGCCAGGTCCAGCATATCTAATATTTTCAGCTGATCTATTTGTTTTGTTGTCTTCATTTCTCACATAGTTGATCCAGCAAAGTTGCCCAATTACCATAAATTATGCACCCTGCACTTCAAGCAGAAATTTCATGATGCCATGAAATGCTGATATCATTGTAGTAATCTGACTAGGATCAGGGACTAAACAGGCAGCGGTATCTCAGCAGAAGGTTGTGGTCGTAATTTTCCTTTGAGCATTTTCTATTCTGACAAAACCTAATTTCTGGACAACCAAAAATTTAATGGAAAATTGCAATCTCACCCGTAGCTGAGATATACCTAAAAGCTGTCATATTCCTAGTCATCAATGCCACAAATTTTACAGGTTATAACACTACTTGCACAATGGTATCTGAAATTCCTGACGTCAGCTGCGGACATCTGCAAAGGCAGATATCGGTAGTTTCCTATTACTGAGAATAGCCTGTAAGAAAAACAGGAAAATGTCAATAGGTTCCAGTTTTGCAACTCAGGATGACAAGGCAAGTCTTACATAATCTATTATAAACCTTGTTTTATATAGAAATAATTACTCCATACACACAGTTCAAACGGTAACAAATATAGATAATACCACAGCTATTTAACTATGCTGCAGTTATGGTCAAGCATAGGCTCCCAAAAATGCAATTCTGCTCTTAAGTATGAATAAGACAGGGTTTAAGCCAGGCAAAATCCCTTATGTGTGAGCAAGTTTAAGCCAGGCAAAATCCCATGCATTAGCAGAACTTAGTTTTAATGCAGTCACATATCAGTCCCCAAAAGATTGCCATGAAGATTACCAGCAGAACAAAAATGGCTTGCGGTCATTCCCAAAACATCTGAAGCTGGTAGCACTTAGTAGGCTTTGGACCTCCTTTCTCACTGAGAGCATTGCTAGTCATATTAAAGTAATATTTAATAATATATCAACTATTTTGTTGGACACTGATGTTGTTGTTTTCCACCAGCAAAAGCTACTGAGATTGACTATTTTTTAGTGATTAGCAAAACTGATGTTCTAAAATCCACATATAGGGGTCTTAAATTGTTGACATGGATTTTCAAAAAGGCTGAACATTCATTGCTTTCTGTGTAGTCTGCATTTTTATACCATAATTATCCTTTGGATTATTTAGTGTAAAAGTCTTTGGACAACATTTGAGCAATTAGAATGATTTATATTTTAATTTGGCATCCAACCCATATCTACCTTAATATATGTACTGAATCAAGTTAACAAATTGCCAACCACAGTTTTCTTGTTACAATGCTTTCTCTTATTGCAGTTTCTTGTACCATTCTGAAATCATATGGAATCAATAGAGGTTGGTAAGAAAATGTTACTCTCTTTACTGCTTAAGCAAGCATATCAAAGTCCAGACATAAGTTAGAAATTCAGAGGAAAATCAAAGCAGAGATCTTTTCTTAACAGCTTTCACCAGTAGGTTTTTTAAAGAAGACAGCACTTTGCAAGGATTAAAAAAAGGCAAGTTTGAACCAGAATTATCAAGGCAACAATGGTAAAAGCTATCTTTAATAGAAAATCAGATTTAGTAATAATATATTAAATGTTTATTTCTTTTACTTATAAAAATTCATCCGTTACATGGACTATTGACATACCAAGTATCTGTATTATGCATACAGTTGGTTCCAAGGGAAAGGAAGAAAGACATCAATTCAGTATTGGCACAGAATTGGAAGTAGAAAACTTCAATTATTTGTTTATTTTCCTTAGAACCTGACCACTGGCACAACTTTTACTTTATTGCCAATGGAGACTGTCAGTTTCCTATATTAAAACTGAGGAAATCAAAAAGATCCATTTCTGGGTCTTCTCTGGATCATTTGGAAACCTTCCACATGCAAAGAGATCATCAATGTTGGGCTTTGATTCCATGTGAACTTTGAGGATAAGGACAATTGATCAGGTTAGAAAAAAGGGGATCTGAAGGAGGGTGATGTGAGGTATTTTCTTTTTTTCATTCTTCTTTTTAGATTTATATAGAAACAAAGACTAGTGGATTTTCAGAAGTATTTATATGGATTAGGATATTCTTGCTAATTTTGAAATACTAGTTGGCAACACCTTTCAAATATCAGAGAAGTTCCAAATTAGTTCTTTAAAATCAGGATGTGTTGGCAAGTGTTCTTGCATTAATGGTGAAATGATTGGTGCTTGCCCAGTCAGAGACGTCTGGGAAAATCACTGATTTGGGGAGGGGAATGTAGGAGAAGAGTTTGCAAACACAGTTACTCAATTGTGCTCTTTATTAATCAACATGCAGTGGGAGATTTATACATGTGTAAAAGTTACAGTATAACTCTATATGGAATCACTCTGGATTAGGGTTTTTCCCCTTGGATAGTCTTATTGCCTTGATAGCAAAGAAGATGTCTTTCTGCCAATGTATTCTGCAAATGCTGTAAGAAATTCAGCTACACACATCTAAAAATCACGCACAATTACAGGTGCCTATCACTACAGTGGAAACCAATACACATTTCTGTGCTTGTAAGCAAGGAATTAATGATAATGACCAATAAGCAGTGTCAATAACATCCCAGTACACGTGTGGCAGTTCATAATCTAAATTCAGAAAACATCAAGTGTCTCTAACTGTTACTTTTGTGAAGAAAAAGACCTTTGAAATACTGTCATAAATAATACAAGCTTTAGTGGGAAGTGAATTCCATAAGTTAGGATAGTTTGTTCTGTAGGTCTTAAAATCCCGTTACCGTGCCTGTCAAACAGCTGTTTTTCTGCACTATGTTTGCTGTTGTTTTCTCTCTGGAGTAGAAGTGTGTCGAGGAGACATACAGATTCCCTGTAACTGATGCATGCATATACATACTTAGAATTAAAACCTTCAATGACTTTGGCTTCGCTACATAAACTACTGGGGGGTTTTTTTCTCCAGATATTTTAAAACAATCTCATGTCAAAAGATTATGTTAACATGGAGAATACTGCATGCACATTATAAAATGTCTGAAGTCTATAACTTGTCTGTGAGGAAGACTTTATTGACTGATAGAGGTTTTACCATGCTTCACACATTTGCAGAGCTAACTGGAGGACCTCTCACTGGAACATTTACATTGTTGCAGTTCCATTTCCATTGGGGCCAAACCGATAAGCAAGGCTCAGAGTACACAGTGCAGGGAAGGAGATATGCCCCAGAGGTAGAGTCAATGAAAGAAAAGTCAAAGTCAAGTTTTCAAAGTCCAGTCACATATATCATTCCTAAGGGGGGAAAAAAGCTTACGTAGATAGCTTTGAAAGCTATTTCATTTTGCAAAGCAATACCATCTCTGCCTGTGAAAAGCTGACTTTGTAAGAACAAATTGGGTTATGTTGTTAGTGCTTATTAATCTAACTTTAGATAATCTAAATCCATATTCAAATAATGAAACAGGGCTGTAAGATGCAGGTATAAATGTAACCTCTGCTAAATGTTTTAAAGGTCAGTTGTACAAGTACATTCATCTTAATATTACATCAGCTGCTTTTTAGAGTACAATCACCTGATGCCCACTATAATTGTAGTGGGACCTTCTTAGCACTACAAACATGCCAATCACTGTAAGGTTGTTGGGTTTGTTGGTTTTTTTTTTCCTGGCTTTTCAAGAACAGCAAATAAGGAAACCTAGAAGAAATGAACGAAGGAAAGAGGAAAAAAGTTATCTAGTAAGGGCCCCAGCACGTCAGGTACATTAACTGTCTTCAGGAAATTAAGAAAGGTCTGATTTACAAAAATTAAAAACCACCTCTAAAGTAATAAATTTATTTGTTTTCCAGTGCCTTAGCATCCTGCTAATAGTCATCAAGGTGCCAACAAACTATTAATGATGAATCCATGTAATGTTATATTTGGCAGCTTTTTAGATTGTATGAACATTACAACATAACAAACTAATGAGATAGATTAAACATCTTTAATTTAGGTATTAGCCAGAAGTGTCTTCCTAATAGAAAATTTTCTGCTGTCAGGGTGAAGAAGCTATCTCAGTTGATACAGCCAAGATTAGAAAGGGGCGTCCCTTTAGAATTGCTTTCTGCTGTAAAGAGATAAGGTGCTTAACCTGTGAGCAAGCAGCACAGGATTAAGTGTTTGACAATTTGCTTTGAATCAATAGTTTAAAATATGTTGAGACAGTAAAAATGTTAAGTTGAAAAAAAAGCACTTCAGGTTTAAAATTACCATGATTTAGAAAAAAATGAAAGGGGGATTAAAATCTGAATTTTAAGGTTATGTGCATTATATGATAATTTCCCTGTTCTGTTACTATATTCTAGAATCTTGTCTTCATATTTTAAGAAGTTTTGATATTTTCTCTTGTGATGTTGCTGAAACATTATACAAGTAATCCAGGATTAGGTTATTGCCATAGAGTTACATAGCTCCTACAGAATTGTTAAGCATATTCATAGGTGAGTTGGCACTTAAAGAAATTCTTATGATTTCTAAGTTCTGGAAGTTTTGGAAATTCTTATTTCACAAAAAAAAAAAAAAAGCTCAAGATAAAATATGCAACACACTAGGCTGAACAAAAGCTCCTTAAAACTCTATCAAAGCAAATATTGTCAAATACTTGTTGAAAGAACTCTACTGAGTATAAGCCATCCCCAGCCATGATGCTCATGGCCATACCATCAGTCTTTGGCAGTAAATGGGATTATTGGGAATAAATATCACACCATGTGTTAAAAAGTGGTTACACTCCTCAAAATGCTATTGAATGTATCATGTTTTTAAAGACATGGAAATAAAGGCATGCACAGAAGACTGTTAGCAACAGAGTTAGAAAAATATATGTCCCTTTTAAGTTGTGATTTTCCACATCTCTGTGTACTTACCCCTACATTGCTTTCAGGAGTATGTGCAGTTCTGCCTACCCCAAGGTAAAGACAGTCTATGAGCCCTGACAGTGCAGGGCAATTCAGCTGAACACCATAAATCTCTAGGCATTCACAACATGTTCTCAGTTTCATGGTCAGACCCTGAGAGTACAGAGGGGCTTTTCTGTTTCACTCTAATTGTGGCATTTCTTTGTAACAGAACAGCAAAACGGATCCTGTCAATTGCTTTTTAGCTTTGCCTCACTCACTGGAACACAGACAAGTATTCGAATGCAGCTGAGGCTTTCAACAGGCTGGATGGCTTGGCAATTGTCACTGTCTTCCTGGAGATCAGTTACTGACACACTGAAAACACAGATCCCTCTCTTACCTTTCCTTATCAAAGCTGCAGTGATGAGGACTAGGAAAAATATGCCTTTGTGTTAAATAGGTGAAGATGATTTTATTTAATCCTGATATAGCACATATTTTCAACTTTATTTCCTACTTTGCCTGTGCTTCTAGATGGAAGTTTTACCCAAATGCCCTCTTCACCCAGAGACCCTTCAAGAAGAGCTGTACTTTAAAGCAGAGGTGCTAGTGAACTTGTGGTGTTTTGTTCACCATCGTAACAGACAATGCTTACACCTCTTGTGTTTGCTTTCCACTTCATCTACAACAACTTTCTCATTCAACTTTATTTCCTACTTTGCCTGTGCTTCTAGATGGAAGTTTTACCCAAATGCCCTCTTCACCCAGAGACCCTTCAAGAAGAGCTGTACTTTAAAGCAGAGGTGCTAGTGAACTTGTGGTGTTTTGTTCACCATCGTAACAGACAATGCTTACACCTCTTGTGTTTGCTTTCCACTTCATCTACAACAACTTTCTCAGACAGTTTGATTGTGGCATTTCATTCCTGTCTATCAATCAGAAAAGAGAATTCAAAATTGGAACACCAAGAAATCTTGCATGCACATGATGTGTTAGCCTTTCAAAACCAACTGAGGCAGGAAAAATAATTCCTTATTATTAAGGACTTTGTTATATGAAGGAAACATTATAACAGTATCATATATTATTATATACTGCTAAAATATAATTACTCATGGTTTAGATTGCAAAAAAAGATACCAAGAAAATGCTTGCAAAACAATTTCAAGGATAAGCACATATGATCAAAGCAATCATATACTTCTGACCCACAGATTATTTTTTGCACTACTGTTTGCATTATGCTGCAGGAAAACTTCCTGTTATTTCCTTAAAAGTTCTAAATTTTGTCTTGTTCATAATGAGCTTGCAAAGTTAAACTGATCAACACTTATAAAGCTTATTCTTGATTCTGTGAGAATTAGACTATTGTTATACATTAGGGATTTAGGATTTTAAAGTATTTTTTATTTACAGCTTGGCTTATGCAATGAAAACCTGAAGGTTGTCTTGAAGGCCTTTTGTAGACATCAGTGTAATGTAAGAGTTCAGCTGAACTAGGCTGTTGAGATGTGAGAGCTGAAAGCATGATCCTGGGCATGAGTTTATGGAATGTCATAAGAAATTTTATACTGTTAGAGCTTTGCCCCATATACAGCTATGGGGGTTCTGTGTAGAAGTGAGAGTACAGAGTTCTGATTCTTGCCTAATCCTACACTTACATCCATCTGTCTATTTAAAATCACCCCTGATGTTTATCACCAGCACAGCCTCACAATTACCAAAGGGGTTTCACTCAGTTAAAGGAAGGCAAAACAGGGAGAAGATATAAGTGCACTTAAACTGGCTTGTAAAGCAATGACTCTTCACACTAAACCTCTCATAAAGGCACAAGATAAGCAGAGATATAATCTGGATACCTGAATTTTAGTGAAGCATGTGAAAAATATAATGCAGCATCTCCCACAGTATTTTAAAAAGTAATGTAGATTTTGACCCTGAACATGAATTATTATTATGTGAATCCCCCGTTTAGCCTCAACAGACAGATAAAAAATAAATATGCATTGAAGTGTTTTTCTTGTCCAGAAACACAAAGTTCAGTATTTTGGAAAAAAAAACCCAACATGAAACACTAAAAAACCCCAGCATCATTACTCTTTAGTCAGTGATGACTGAAAACTTTGGTATCAGATACCATTTGGGGAGGACATCGTGTTTTATTTGAGCTTTTTGAGTAATACTGCTCATTAGTGGTGGTGCCAGCCTAGATATATCTCGGTGTCAAAGTTACCACCACAGAGAGCAACTCACCTCTGATGCTATGAGAAAACACCAGTGTTTTGAAAATACCTCCTCTGCTTTAGGAACAGGCTCCCCTGGAGCTTGAGATGTAAATCCTGCCTTACTCATGGGTTTCATTAACGCATTGTATCTTCCACAGAGTAAGCAAGCTTCCTTTTCCTATTTTGATTCTTCAAGCCTGATGCCTAAATCCATGGATTACTGGACCTACAGTGGCCCTCTGACTCATCCTCCTCTCTATGAGAGTGTCATCTGGATTACCCTTAAGGAGCAAATTACTATTAGCTCAGAGCAGGTAGGGTATTATAAGGAGTAAGACCCTTGTCTTTTAGCTTCAAGAGAATGATCACTTTGCACTGCATTGGAGCATTTTATTACGTTTATTTGTCTCATTTTTACTATAAAACAAGTACTACCTTTACACTGCACTATTGCTCTTTATAAACACTTATGATTCTCCCTCAGCCAGGTTAGGCTATTCACATCTTACCAAGTCTTGTGGGAACTGAGATGAGATGACTTCAGATGGGTGAGTTCTTTCCACTGCTCCAGGAAAGACATTTGCTTATTTAAATTTCCTTATGGTGCTGTGTCTTCCAACACAGAAGCCAGGCAGAAAGGTGAATGCATCCCATCTTCATTCATACAAGACTCCTCCAAAGTAATTCACCTTCTCATCAAATCTCAGCCAAAAACCTGCCTGAGAAAAGAGATGAAATAGCCAGATTATAGTTCTCACTCATCAAATGCAGCACATACACACATACAAAAAGACTATGGGAAAATCTACCAAAGAAACAAGAATGTGCATGTGCTCTTAGCTGCAATGTTCCTGTCCTGACACAAGCTGTTGTAGTTCACTGGCATTTGGCTCAAGCTTTTATCGGAATTTATCTACATTCTTTTTGTGGTAAACAACCAATCTGTTTTAAGGCATGACTTTTAACAGTGCAATGTACTTTAAACTTTTTAATGAATATTCACATTCTTTCTGATCTTCTAAATAAATAGTGGTAATAAGAAGTAAAGTAATTGTTCAGAGTGAAGTTAAACAGGACTCAGCTTCTCACAAGGAGAGTTATGCAACTGTATGGGATGCCTGTTGTTTTTGTGCAAAGAAATTGATGCTGTTAGTGGCAATTGCTAATGGGTTATTGTTGATTTGACTAATATAAATGGTTTCTTCCTCTATTTTAGCTGATATCTGCCCAATTAAAATAAAATTAATACAGAAAACATTTTGAAATTAAACACTATTGTAATAGTGCTATGCCTTCAGTGTTTTAAAAGGAATTGTATGAGAATTGCTGTTTTATTTCACCTGTGGATCTAGTAAATAATTATTTGACATACGTCCATGGAAAAATGAAAGACCTTGGTCTGGCTGTCCATTTAAGTCACACACTTACAGCACCAGTTTCCCTATCTCAAGCACAGCAGTACTCAGCTTTGCAAGTGGCTCCAGGCATGACAACTGAATTACTTAATATTCAGCAGTGGCAAAGGTCTGAAGAAGATAAAATCAGACTCCGCAAGGACCAACATAAATCATTAGAACAGAAATTAGGTTTCCAGTTGACCCCACTATGTAACTTAAATGTTTTTTTGACTGAAATGAAGTACCTTCCTTAAATTACGTAAGTCACCATTATCTATTGGGGGTTTGCAGCACCTGTTGCTACAGATAGAGTTTCCTTTGCATTTGCCTGCGTTTGACTCTACAGCAGTGCTGTAAACATTTACAGGTCCTCATGCTTCCACTGTAAAGTACAGAAAAATTTCAAATTCGTGTTCCCAACATATTCAAAAGCTGAGTCGTTTTAAATGC